TTCTCAATGCTGGTGTATTTGTCTAGCTAACACAGTATATCATCCTTTTAGGGGTGCCTCTCCCTTACACTGAGCAGGAGTCGCTTCCAAACGCTGAGGGTTTGAATCTGTTTCCCTTTTGCCTTGTCAATGCCAGCCTCCTTGACCAAAGATCCCAGCTGCTTGTCCTCTCTCCCCTCCAATTCAAAAATACTAGCTACATTGTCCCAGCATCAGAGCAGCCAAGTGCAAACCTGCTCATCTCCCAGGTGGCCGAAATCTTTCTGCATATCTCACAAATCAGTCGGGCATAAAGACGGGGTGAGGTGGACAGGGTAATCACCTCTGGCCCTTCCTCCTTTTCCCATGCTGGGTGTGGCTCATTGCCATTCCCCACTTTGTGAGCTGACTTTCTGGTATATTTGGTTTTCTGTATTGGGGCGACTGATACTGACACTGGCTGTCTCTCTGGCTCAGCTGCTGTGCTTGTGGAGGCGACTGGTACTGGCTCTGCCTGTCCCCTCTGGCCCAGCTGCTCTACCAGTAAGTTCACTCTCAGATCCTGCAGCCCTTTCGCCCCCTTGAGGGCAGTGAATAATATTAAAGAAATTAGGGTAGGCATGGGCAAGAGTTATGTCTCCCGGGTTTTGTCAGCTTGGTGACACACCTTTTTTAAGCACTGCACCAGTTTATCAGGCCTCTGCATTTGTTCGGGGTTGAAATTCCAAAGCATTAGGGGTGACCACTGTCTCAGGTGCTTGCCTATCCCTTCCCACATACCTTGCCACTCACTATTGTCTGACCTTGGGGCAGGTTTCCAGGTACTGCTATTGTTAGAGAAGTGCCGCGAGGCCAAAACAAGACGTGGCAGACAGCCATAAAGCATTGTGCCACAAACACACTGGCCTGGTTGCTCCAAGGATAGCTAAAGCTCTCATAAACCCAAGAGGATCTCTTGGTTTGGCTCACCCATAGAAGGGGTGAGAACCCTAACAAAAGCCCAGGCAGCAAACAGGTACTGGCCTGCTCCCACAAACAACAATACAAATGCATTATAAGCAGTTAGTAGCCAGTATACAAAACAAGATACTTTACACATTTTCCACTGACAACAAACACCAGCACTGGTTTCATACACTGGATATAAGGATTAATCCAGTCCCACCACGTAAGAAGTGGGCCAGCATTGCAAATATCTCTTATCAAACAGTACAAATACAAACAGAAAAAATTACACCCAACAGATTGCTCTAACACACTCTGGTCAGGGTTTCCCTTTTTGATCCTTATTTCAACCCTCTTGAGCCCCACGCTGGGTGCCAAAAAGGCTGTGGTGGTTTAGGCCCTTCCAGGACTAGAGACCACATTGCTGTTGTCTCCCCCCCAACCCTTTGCTCAGACAGGTTGCAAGTGAAGCACAAACCCTGGGTTTGAAATAAGGAAAAATTTAATAGAATAGTGTAACAAATAACAATCTGAACAACAACAATAGTGATAACAGTAACAATAAACAGTAATAGCAGTAAACAAGACAAATGATATACATAGAAAAACTGCAAGGGACACAGCTAGCCTGGCGCCTATGCTTCCTTGGACAAAAGCCGAAGGAAACTGTTCCCTCTCTTGGTGCATGGACTTGACGTCAGAATGGTATTGAATAACCTGGCTAGCGCCCTCTCCCCACTGCTGGGGAAACAACCATATCCTAGCTGAACCAGGACAAACATCTTTATTGGTGATCTAGATGAGGAGATCGAGTGCACCCTCAGAAAGTTTGCAGAATACACCAAGTTGGGTGGGAGTGTTGATCTGCTCGAGGCTAGGGAGGCTCTGCAGAGAGACCTGGACAGGCTGGAGCCATGGGCTGAGGCCAACTGGAGGAGTTTCAATAAGGCCAAATGCCAGGGGCTGCATTTGGGCCACAACAACCCCCAGCAGCACTACAGGCTTGGCGAGGAGTGGCTGGAGAGCTGCCAGTCAGAGAGGGACCTGGGCGTGTTGATTGACAGCCGGCTGAACAGGAGCCAGCAGTATGCCCAGGTGGCCAAGAAGGCCAATGGCATCGTGGCTTGTGTCAGGTTTAGTGTGGCCAGCAGAAACGGGGAAGTGACTTTATCCCTGTACTCATCACTGGTGAGATCTCGATGACTGTGTTCAGTTTTGGGCCCCTAACTACAAGAAGCACATTGAATTACTCAAGCGTGTCCAAAGAATGGCAATGAAGCTGGTCTTCACCATGTATGGAGCACATGCCTTATGAGGAAAGCATGAGGGAACTGGGGTTGTTGAGTCTGGAGAAGAGGAGGCTGAGGGGAGACCTAATTGCCCTGTACAACTACCTCACAGGAGGTTGCAGAAAGTTGGGGATGAATCTTTTTAACCAAGTAACAAGCCATAGGACAAGAGGTAATGGCCTCAAGTTGCACCATGGAAAGTTTAGACTGAATATTAGGAAGTATTTCTTTACAGAATGTTTTTTTAGGCATTGGAAAGGGCTGCCCAGGGCCGTGGTGGTGTCCCCATCCCTGGAGGTGTTTAAGGGTAGGGTTGACATAGCACTTAGAGAGATGGTGTAGTTGAGTATGGTCAGTGTTACATTAATGGTTGCACTAGGTGATCTTCAAGGTCTTTTCCAAACTGTATGATTCTGTGTTTCTGTGAAATTTGCTTCATATCCCTTTGCAACAAGTTCTTGAGTATCTCTTAGTATTAGGTTGTGAGATAGAGGTAGGAGTGAGTAATACGGGCCTTACAGAACTCTGGTTTTGCTGATCTGCCCTATGGGTTAGATGGATGTCACATGACAGAAAAGAGACTATCCAAACCTAATATATTGAGCTGCAGTGTTTATTTATGAGTATGTCCTTGACAAGTCTTGATGGTCGCTGTTGATTCTCTGAAGCATCCTTGCATGGTATGTGGGGGTCTTCATTCACTTAACAGTTTTTCAGGCCTCAAACAGTATTGTTTCTAATCTTGCTTTAGGGTGAAGGCTGCTATTCTTCCTCTCTCTGTCTGAAATTGTAGCATTTCATTCTTGCAGAAGAGGGAGCTTTGGAGAGAATAGTTTGGTGGCTGCTTCCTGATAATTTTTGCCACATTCCTTGCTTACTGTTTTATCAATCAGCCAGTTCAGTGTTTCATTAAAACCATTAACTCTTTTTGACTCCAGGCTTGTTCTGGTGCTGATCAGATTTAGAGCTTTACTTCTGCTGAAATGTAAATCATTCTTTTCCTTGCAAAGCACTGTAAAAGTGCTCGAGGAAGTAGGAATGACTTTTTGTCTGAGCAGTCTGAGATAGAAGTCTGTTTCATTAAAACTGTGCTATATAAAATGTCAGAAATTATTTACTGAATGAAGCTCTGAATTATATGCAGAAATACTAATCACTTGACAGATTCTCAGGTTTCACTAAGCATAGAGTTATGAGGTGGTCTTCACAGAAACAGGGGCATTTATGCATTTTCTGGATTTTGGACACAGACATTCCAGCTTAGCTGTGGTCCACAGACATCAGTTTACCAAATTGGCTAACTACAGATGGTCTCAAGCTAGGTGTTTAACTGATGAATGAAATCAAAATAGCAAGTATTGTCAGTTTGTGTGTGAGACAATGACAGACCATGGACAAACTGGGACAAACCAGACTTTGAAAACTAATGTAATACTGGATAGGGTATGTCTGCATACTCCAAAGAAATTGTTACAGTGGGAGAAGGGAAGACTTCTGTCTTATATGACTGATACGGAGAGGTGAGGCTAATGAGGGTAGAGGTTTTGTTTGGATTGTATGCAATCAGCTGTTTATTTAACTTCTAGCTCTTACTTCAAAGCAGAGAGGCAGGAAACAAAAGGTGTTGTGTAGAAGTGTGCTGGTTAACTGAAATTACAATGTGAGATTTTAAGGAAAAAGTGTAATGTTATATTGAAAATGCCTTCTAATACGTTTTGAAGTTCTCTGGATCTTGTAGGAGACTGCTTAAATCATAGACTGCAAAGTAATTTTGATGTAATCAGTCAGTGAGTAAAATAATGATTAAAACACTGATTCATTATGCAAATTCCCTTTGATCTTTTCAAGAAGTCATTCCCCTCTAAAACTGTTAAAGAAGTAGCATACCTGTTTCTAATATTTATGTGTGATTCCTCATCATACCTTCTATTTTAGGGAAAGACACTAGACCCTCCAAACTTGGTCTGCCAAATATCATAATTATTCCCTTCAAGAAAGACTGGAGAACCTACTCTTTCTGTTGTGGCTTATTCAAATAAGTGCAAAGTTTTAAAAGGCCAGTCATAATCTTAAAAAAATAATTGCTTTACGCTCCTGGATCAGTATTGGAAGTCACTCTTCAAAGGCATGTCTTTGAGTATCTTTTAGTCTTGCTTTGTTTCTCCATGGGCACCTATTCTACCAACAGTAGACTGGAAGTGTCAAAGCTCCCAGTTCCTAGGAGTAATGGATCCAGGATCTCTAAGTAGTCATTTGCTAGTCCTTTTTGGTCATACATCTCTCATCTCACTGTCTGTTGTGTTGATGCCTGATAAAGCACTAAATACTTCAGTGCTTTTAAAGTAGTCTCACACAGCTAATCCTGGTAACACATTCAGCAGCTCTCCATGAAGCCAGTGTATAAGAAGTGATGAGAATATTGTGTGATGAGAAGTGATGAGAATATAAGAAGTGATGAGAATATTGTGAGTCGAGGAAGCTGAGTTCTCTTGTACCTTTCCATTATTTTGGACAGTCTCTGGTTTGGCTGTAGTAGCTAAGCATTGTCAGAATTACTTGGCACTTACACTTCTCTGTGACTACAGGATACATTCCAAAGTATTAAGAAACCATCAGACAGGAGGGAGTTGTGATCCTTAATTAAATATAAAGCCTTTACCTTTACTGACCTTGTGACTGTTTCCAGTTGCTAATAGTCTTGCTTCCAGGCCAACCTAAGAACGAATTTAATAATTGCTATCTGATAAAATATTGCTTTAAGCATGTGTACAAACTGTTTTCCTTTAGGCATGAGTTGGGGACAACTATCAAACTGGAAGGTAGTGGGCAGTCCCAGGTATGTCCAGCTGCAAAATGGAAAAGGCACTGAGGTAATTTTTTTTTTCACTAACTTTGTGCCTGCCTCCCCCCCCTGTATCAAGCAGTGACTGATGACTTAGCTGCAGCTTTTGTTGGTGGTACAACAAGTGGACTTGATGGGTACACTAAGAGCTTGCGAATTGTGGAGAAAGTCAGTGGCAAATACATCAAAATGCACACCAGGTACATTGGAACCACGGTGTATATACTCCAGCTTGGGCACTACTTAACATTGGCCATTCGCATGCCTCAAGAGTTGATCATGGCCTACGAGGAGAGTCAGGATCTGCAGCTGTGTGTGAATGGTTGTTCTTCAAGTGAACGTATTGGTGGTAGTGGCCACTTACCGTTGCCTGTGATGGGGCAGTTACTCCCTCAGTGTGGTAGTGCTCACTGGAAACTGCCACCACCAAATGCCATGAGAAGATGCTGGTGAAATACATCTATTTTTATTCATGTGTATTTGACTTACTCGCCACTGGTGATGCTAACTTCACGGCTGCTGCTCACAGTCTTACAGGATGTGGGGGCACTGCACCCCAGAAAAGAGCACTAGCATATCTGCCCCAGCAGTAGAGGTGGTGGTATGGGCAAGGGTAGCATATTCTTTGTCAGTCTGGGACTTGTGTGCTTGATCCTTGTTGTGTTTTTGTAGGGGTTTTTGTCAATAACAAAGTTTTGAAATATATATTGTTATAATATATTGAGTAAAGGTGAGTATATATGTATATACCATGTATATGAAGGGATGTTTTGTGTTGGGACACCCACCAGACTGTACATAATGTGTTAACTGTTTTCATGTATGTTTGATGTAGTATTCTTTGTATCTATTTGTTTTGCACTTGGTGAAATGTTTTATAATGTCCCTGCATTGGGATAGAAATGCATGATAGAAAGCACTTTATTTTCTATATATTACATATTTATGTGTATCTGTGAGTAACTATGTATTATACATATAAACATATACATACAATATTCACTGCTCCCTCCAAGTACTACTTGTTTTAACACATTTTTTTTAACTGGATTAATTTGTGGGTTTATTTCTGTTACTCTAGACAGAGCATGTCTCTTGTCTTGTAATGGCACTAGTGCTTTGCTGGGTTCACTAGTTACAATCATTAAGAATGGGATTGTATCCTGTCCCTCAGTCAAATAGCCATCCCTTCTTTGGAGGGAGAAAGTGAACTGCTTCTCCTTAGCTCACATAACCATCTTTGGTAACATGTATTACAGAACCTTCTTTGTAATTCTGACATTTTGTGGTTTCATGGCATGAGTTTAAAAAGAAGAAATGGAATGTGTTGGAGTGAGACTTATAGAACCTGTGGAGAATTTTAAAAGATAATGATCTAATTGTATGAGCATGTAACACAACTATTTCAGCTGCCTCTAACCTTAGGTTAAAGTTAAGAGTTAAGTTAACTTTAACATTTTAAACATTTTAACAGTTTAACATCCACTTAACTGGGTTAAGTCATTCTCCAAGATGGACTGCAGAAGTCAGAAGCCTGAATTCTGTCCCTTGCTTGGGTGCTAATTCTATCTATACATTCAGAGGGAGCAGGAGAGTAAGGCTGCAGGCTCTGACTACTTCTACTGAGGATCTAGGAGAAGAATGATTTGGTGGCCTGATGGTTGGTTTTACTTGGTGCCATAATCTGCTGCAAGAAGTGGAGGCTTTAATACATGCTGCAATAAATCCAGCTCCAAGACTGGCTTATTTCACTCTTAAAACTTATCTGAGACCGAACTGATATGATAGAAGTGCTATCTGAATAAAACTCAAATTACACTTGCCTTTATGAAGCAAATTTGAGATAGTTGAGTTGCGTTCGTAGAGGGAGATGGAATTTATGAATGCAATGAAAGCTCCTAGTTTTATTGAAGATTCTTTTGGCTAGGTTAGGGACTGTTGACTGGTAAGGACAGCAGTAGTCTTCTCAGAAAAACTTAATTCCCTGTATAGTTAAGTAACTACATACAGGTGTTATTCTGGGAATACTTGAGATGAAATCAGTCAGAACTTAAGAATGAAGGTGAAACTTTATTTTAGACTAGACTATTGGTAGGTTTTTCTGTCTGTACTGTCTGATGGTGCTATCTGAGATGGGTTAGACTTGTGGATTTATGATATGTCTTGATAATATGGCTAGTGCAGTGTCACCCAATGGTGACAGGATTCTCCTTATTTTGTATGTCTGAACTTCCTCATTAATGCTCTGAGTTTAAAGTTCCCATGGCTGAAAGCTGATGGATGAACCTAGTGTTGCTTGCAGTAGTGCACACACTTACTGGGCGGGCACCATATAGTAATTAATTTCCTCAGTCGGTTGAATCCTGTATGTATATACATATATACGTATATACATATGTATATGTATACTAGCATTGAGTTGTGAGCCTCTCAGATAAGTAATATTTCAGAAATGTAGTAATTTTCCTAAAGAGTTTTCAATTTTCTTGTTCCTGCTGTGGGATTTCTTGAATAAATGTTATTTACACATGCTCATTCTTGAAGTCTGCCATTGCCAAGAGAGCTTTAGTTAATACCGGATGTGGATATTTTGAAGCTAATGAATGGTCTCTGGAGAGAATTTAAGCTTAGATGGATTTTTTTTTTTTTCCCACAAGCCCTCCAAATGACCAAATGACTGTCTCTTAGAAGGCTACAGGTATTTTTTTTTCCATGCTTGTAAATCCAACAATGTGTCAACCTTTGCAAAACCATTTAGATGTGGTTCATGAATATACCTCTAAGTGTATGTTTGTATAAAAGAGTGGCTGTGCGGTGTGTAAATATTTTAAATTATTATGATAGAAGAATAAAGTTGCTTGCTCTGCTGAGGAATGTCTGTAATGTGTGTTAGTAACCCCTTGTGGGGTGCAGAGAAACTTGGGACGTGGGACACGTACTGGGCAGGCAATCTATAAATAAAGCCTCAATCCTAGCCATCACTTGTTGGATAGGAATGCGCTGAGTACAGTTGTTATAATTCTTTGCAGATGCTTGTTTTCCCAATAATTTTGTTCAAAAAAGTGAATATTGCTTTTTCATTGTCTGATGGGAACAAAACTGTATAGTGAAATCTCTAGTTCTGCACATTTCAGGGGATTTTGCTTTGGCTTAGTTGTACACTGGCTTGAACAGAGCAAAGAGCTGTTACCAGCTGCAGTGCATTATATGATCTTCCGGAACACTTCTAACCATTTAGTTTCACCAGGAAAGATCCATTTCATGCAGAGATGTGAACCAAAACACAGTAAGAGGGAGGGGAAAATAAGGAGTTCACTTCATAAGTTATCAGCTCTTTCAATATTAAGGAAAGATTACTTGCCTGGTAGTGCTAATTATTATGATGCAGATGCTTAAAATCGACATGCTATGGGTAAAAACCAACACCTAAACCCCACAACCCTGCAGTCTAAAGGCAGTTTATTTGTAAGTGTAGGAGTTAGTCTAATGAGAAGAAGTAGAAAACCTCACTTCCAGCTTTGCTCAGAGGATATTTTTACTGGTTATTTAAATTGCCAGTAGTTAAGTGGCAATATATTGGCCTCTGGTGAAGTACTTGCCTTAAACATAGAGCTGCTAATTGTGGACAGTAAAGATTATATGACAGTCATTAATGAAACCCACCCAGATAAAAACTATTTTTTTCTTTTTTACGCTAATTTTCCCTCAGCAGGGATCTTGTTTATTGAGTATGAATCAGTATGTACACAGAGTCTGCTTGATTTTTAATCTCAGGATGCTGTTTTCTAATATGCCAAATTGACACTTTGGTGGTTTGGACACTCTAACACAACTCGGCATTTCTCCATCTTGAATAAAGAGCATATCCACCACCAAGCCTTTTAACCTCTGTTCCTTACCCACAGAGTAAGCATTCAGTCTGTCCTACTCATAAAGGGGAACTACAGTTCTTCCATTCTTCATTTATTTCATCCTTACACATAACTTTGAATATAGGGATTAGAGTCTTGTGTATCAGCTTTGGCTGGAGCACTGCATCCCTGAATCTCAGGGAAGATCTTTCCCCTTCCTGTGCCCTCTATTTCTTTGTTTCAAGCTTATAGCAGTCACCATTAACCATTCTTCTACAAAGGATCAAAACACTTCTCATAACTTCCTTACACTGAGTGCCTTATGCTATCAAGAAAGCAGCAGAACTGGTTACTGGTTCACCTCTAGGTTTTCAGCAATGTCTGCCAACTCCAAATCCCACAGACCTAATTCAAACAAGAAAAATTTTGTATTTCATTGTGAAGTTAACAGAGCTTTGTGTTCTTACTTGCCTGCACTCAGAGATTTTCTACCTAGACTGAAGAAATTTATAACATAGCCTTTTACACATGTAGAATACCTATCCCATTTCTGGGGTTACATCAGGAAAAGTCTTGTCAAAGCTACAAGGCAAAATAAGAACATCAACCCTGAGATGTGGCAATCAAGGTGGTATCCCGATCCAATATCGGGGGAGGTTTTGATATGATCCCAAGAGCAATATTAAGACACAAATGAGGTCAAATGCTGCATAGCCCAAACAGGTTTTTATTATTAAAAAAGTGAAGAAGGGTAGTGATAGGACAGAATGGAAGAAAATGGCAGAAATAAGGCAATGATGTGGGATAGGACTGCAAGATAGTCACCACCATGGATCCAGTGGCATCCCATTGGTCTTCAGTTTTAAGTTCTTCGGTGGTGGGTGCACATGGATCTGGCTTTGATGGTGGATGCACACAGAGCAAAGTTTATTTTAAGTTTGTTGTATCTGCTGATTAGCATATCTCCCCACTTTTTTTTTTTTTTTTTTTTTTTTTCCTCTGGTCCCACAGATTTTGTTACATCTGGTTTCTGGGGAGAAACCTTTGCTTCTTGTCAGTTCATTAGCAATGCATGCATGATGTTTGGCCTACACAATAGAGCCACAAATGGCTACATGATGGGGCCAGCTCAGTACACTCTGCCCCTTGGAGGCTTATCTAAGGAGTCTGACAGCGCAACTGCAAAGAAGTGGGGGGTACATCCTTCAATACACTCCCACTTCCCTGGGCAACATTCCCAGACCAATCCACAGGCTACAGCGGCTTGTCTTGGAGGTTTGCACAGACACAGGGAAGCTTTGAAATTGTCATATGACATTTCAGTCTCTCACAGAGGGCAAAGGAAAATACCTACCTACCTGAAGGAAGTCAAATATAGAAATGTATCCTCTTTGATGCAGAAAGGAGATAGCACCAAGGTGTTCCGACCCTTGAAGCCAGGGAGTAATGTGAGTGTGTGATCAGAAGCAGAAATTTTGAAAGGCCGTGCATCTTAATACTGAAAATTGAAGACCTTCAGGTACTACTGTACTAGGCAGCAGCTCTGTGAAGGCTCTGAGGACTGCAGTACTGAATCTAGGTGTTTGAATTCTTCAGTGATTATAGGTTGTAATCCCTGTGAAGTAACAAACACCTGTTTTTGCAGATGAGCCTAGATTTTGAACATCCACAAATCCATGGGACCTGATGAGATGCATCCCAAGTTCCTGAGGGATCTGGCAGATGTAGTCGCTATGCTGCACTTTGTTGTGTTTGAAAAGTCACAGCAGACAGGTGAAGACCCTAGTGACTACAGACTACATGCATATAGAGGCACCCAATCGTGATGATTTTCCAAAAAGAGTGTGAGAGCTATCGCCATCATGCAGTCCTTACTGCACGTCCTTAATTGTGTGCCTACACTTGGGGTAGGCCCATTTCCACTCTGTTTTGCTGGCTGTAAGGTTTCTCCTGTCCATATCAACCTGTGCCCTTTGCTTGTCAATTCAGGCCATTACTTCCTGTCTCTCTCCCTTGTTCCTAATTTAAGGCTCTTCTCACCACGTTGGCCAGACTTAACAAAC